TCTTTAATAATAATGATCCCCCCCCCCCCCCCCCCCACTTGGTAGAAAAGTTAGACGACGCCTCGCGATTCGCTTTGGCTTCCATTACGGCGCACTTTGATCTCCACTAAAGGACTTTAGGAAGCGTGCCAAAGCCAAAGCAAAGTGTCGAGTCCCGTGTGGAATATTGGAAGCGATTAATTTACAAGCCAAGAGACTGTCGAGCTGCAAAGCCAAATTAAATAGACACGTGGAAGGTGCGAGAGGCTGCAGGGCAAAAGAAATGAGCTAAGTAGATTAAACATAGAGAGACTCACAGAAGATCAGGAGAATCGAGGGATGCTCTTCGCCGCCGTCGTTCTTCCCGCTCAGGAAAAGAAACCATTGCCGTGGGTCTACTCTGATTCCGTACCTGCGTCAGACAAACAAAGAAGCAAAGTAAAGACAGCCTTCTGGAATTCTTAAAAGTTATCATTGTCCCACATGGAAGGGACCCTCGAGCCAAGGAAAAAATGAAATCTGAAAAAGAGGAGAGGAGCCATACCGGATGCTGCTTCCAGTGAGTAAATATTAAATAAAATTGCGCACGGGCAGGGGGGGGGGGCGCAAGGCCCGCAGGAGGCAAAGACGAAAGACACGTGCTGCGAAAGGGACGTGGCGGTCCAGGCATTTTGGCTGCAACCGGATGTGCAGCTAAGCGCGAGCCATTTCTTCTTTTCCCTAACCCCTCTTCCGCATTCACCAGTTCACCAGTTCATCGGCCTCATCGGACCACCGGCTAATCATGATGAACGAGCCTTAGGTATTGTTTGAGCTTTTAAAATATTAGCTCGATGATCTCGAGGTGGTTGACGGGATGCTGAGCGGATGGCAGGAACAATGCACCTCGAGCAGGAGGCTCTGGTCCACGGCACGAAAGTGCAGCCTTAAATGACGAGGAGAGAGAATCGACAGGGAAGTGCGAGAAAATGGATGCGAAAGGCCAACAGCGAGGAGACATGAATAAAAAGGAGTCTGCAACCGAATAGCACGCATCAAGTATTAAAGAACCCGATGAATGTGGCGGTGGTGACAGCCATCAAAAGGCAGTCTTCCAAGAGAAGGAGAGAAGCATAGATGGAATAAAAAGAGAAAGCGAGCGCGGGATGTATCGAGCGTTTATTCCAATCCTCTCGGAAAGTAGACCCGTGTAAAAATTCCAAAAAAAAAAAAAAAAAAA